AACAGATTCAACTGATTTTTTCTTTGTTTGCTCCTCAAGTGTCTTCACTTTCTCTTGAAGTTGTTTCAAGTATTTTATTGCATCTCCAAGAACTGAAGCCTTGTCCATCTATTCATCATACCAAAATTTTAGTATAGCTATTTTATATAGGACAATTGTAAATATTACTCCCGCGAGTCATATTTATTTGTCCATTATACTAAAACCAACATTTACTTTTCAAGATTAATGATACACATAACTATCAATCTTGAAAACTAAGAAAATTCATCAAATTAAGCACCATCACACGATATAATGTGCTAATTTTATTATCGACTTATTTTTCATTTTAATTGCAACCATTCACAAACTCCAAACATATAGGTCATATCTTTCAAAAAATAAAAAATAAAATGACTTTCTTCGTATCAAACATATTCATAAGCTTGATAGAAGTGTATTAGTACCTTTTTGAGTCCAGGAATCAGAGCAGATAAAGCAATGAATCTTTGGCTAAGTTTTTCGCGTCTTTTCCTCTCAGCAATGATATGATCTTGAGCTTGTGTTAATTTTCCATTAGTGCTAACACTCTTATTAGCACCTTGACATGAATTATTAGCAGCCTTAAACATCATATAATTCTGATTAGCAAAAGAATCTTGATGACAAACCATATTGTTATGACAATGATCAGCTGCAAAAGATATACTGCTTGATGACAAATTAGTTGTTTCCTCTTTGGGCTTCATTGTCACAACTTGTAGGTTTGTGAAATTATTTGATGAGTTCATCAAATGGGAATAATTGGGAGAAACCACAGATTGTGAGCTCAATATTTGGTCATTTTCAATAATATTATTATTGTTCCAGCTATGACTTGTTTTGGAATTCTTTAGTGGCCTTTCTTCAACAATTTGGGACAATTCTATAGGCCTTTTATGGCCTAATAGTGGCTGATCATGAGACATGAATGATTCATGCAAATTATTCTCATGACCAAATGAAGTTGCTATGGATATTGCACTTAGCTCATCATATGAGCTAATAGGCCATTGTTGATTAAACCCATAATATTCCATTTCCTGCAACAAAAATACAAATATTCAATTCTAAATTCAATAATCTTGAAGAAACTCGCGAAAATTGTCTAGATTTTCAAAAGTTTAGACACATACACTACATCAAAAATGATCTTTTACCGACAATGGACTAGCTATTTGCCGCTATATTTCAGGCGGCTAAATGTTTTATCAATTGAATTATCAGCAATTAACTTATTGTTTGTTGCAGTGGATAGAATTGTACCTTACAAATTCCAAAATTCTTGAAAATTCCCAAAAGCAAATTGGAGAAATCCTGAACAAAAACAAAAAAAAGCCAAATTAAATTGTGGAAACGGATATACATAAAAGTAGAATATATAAGGTAATTAATGGAATTAGGGACTTACTTTAATTAATTAAGAGAAGATCAGGACAAGGCTAATCTTTTACTAATCTCCTATAAAGTTGGAGACTTTTTGCTACCATTAATGAATTTTCTTCCTCATATATATACTACTGTTATAAGTATCACTATCTCCCTTTTTTCTTCTTTCTTCACGGGTCGGGTTGTTGATGTGAACCGGCTTTTAATTATTGTGGCAATAGAATATTAGTAATAATTAGTGTATATTTCAATTTTCAACACCTTTCTGTTTGAACATAAATAAATTGCAAGTAGATCTTTTAAGCTGGTGAAAGCTAAGATTAAAATAATCTTCTTTTTTTTGTTTTATTCAGAATTTTAAAGACTTTTGAGGCTACTAGTATTTCTATAATATTTCATATTCCTCCACTTAGCCAATGAAATTTTAACAACAAAATTATTATTATATATTTTTTTTGGATCTTAGTTTTCAATTTTCTTTATGTTGGCTGCTACGTCAACTACCATAATGTTCCCACAACCTATGTCGTAATCCAAAAAGATCATCCTCCATATTTTGCGGTACTTTGATAAGAACATTGACTAACAAAAATTACTGCTCCATAAAGAAAATAAAATTAACCAATAATTAAGCACATGTAGTACGACCTACCAAAAAAATATAAGTATTTGAAAAGTATTTAAGTGTATATATAGTATTATATATAATTATTATACAACAACACTATTCTATCATATGGGCCAACTGTTAATCAATACTATATATTATAAAATACTAACTAGTGAAAATATGTTGTGCACGTATTGGATAAAATACTGTACAACTTTTCTTATTATATACACTTTCTTCATATGATGATAGGTATTTTGGTATATGTAAAAGAATTACTCCTAGTGTCAGTTTAATTTAATATATATGTGATATCAATATGTCATGAGATTATATTCGTTTGTCAGATATACTTTGAAAAAGTATTTTGTATCCAAAAGAATTATATATTGGAATTAGTTAACGACAAAAATTTAATTATTATTAAATATGTATTTTTAGCAGCAATTAGCGCTGTTTATAAATGTCTCTAAAGTCTATAACGACATTTGATCTAATGACAATTACCTAATGTTGGTAAAGGCTTTTACACTTTTTGTTAATGTGTATATTTATTGGCGCTAAAAGTTGTTTTTGTTGCAGTGATACTTGTTTGATTTAGAATTTCTATATATATATATTATTTCCAAATATTCCTTATAGTTCGAGTTTAAAACAATATATACAATTAACTTGAGAATTCTTTTTAGATCTCTCTCGATTAATCAAGATTTATCTATGATAAAAATATCACAACTTTAGAACATGAAAACAGCTTAATCGAAATAAGAGATTTTTAAAAAGTCGGTGTGGCTGAGTACTACTAACAAGTTAGCTCTAGAATATCCAAACAAAATCTCAAAATTTGTTGGGAGAATCTTGAAAAAAAAAGCCCATCTTCTTTTCTTTCTGTCAAGTAGCTTACTATATATAAAACAAGAAGGTTGTTGAAGAACATTAGTGGGTTAATGAAGTGATGTCTTAACATAACTTGATAGGTATAGCTGGAAAAGATTATTACAAGCACTCTCTATTGTCTGTTTTAATTTATTTTGTCTGATTTGAAATTTGAATTGAACAAAGTTAAAAAATAAAATAAAGAGGACTTTTTGTACTTATATTTTTGAACATGTCATCTCGAAAATTAAAATAAATAAATTATCAAAAAGATAAGAGACGGCCTGAAATAAATTGAAACGGTGAGAATATTATTATGCTCGCTCGTGGGGGTAGTTATGAGTGATTTAACATTAATCTGTGTCTGTTATCCACCATATATTAGTACTCCTGTCTAGTCTATAGATGAACATACATTTCAAATGACAACTGTGATGTTGGACCTTTACACCTTCAACTTTTCATGTATCCATCCACTAATTCTTACTACTATTATATTCTCCATATATTTTGTTTGACTATATATATTTATTTTTATTGAGTAATAAGCTTTGGATATCTTTTACAAAGAAAAAAGAAAAACTTGAGAATGAGGTATAATCTTTTGTATGTTTATTTGATATACAATGTCTAGAGTTAGTCATCACAAAATTTTATATGGCTGAAGTTTATTCATTGCTTGAACTTTGGTCATTTATGCTAAAGTTATGTTATTATTGCAAGACTTCAATTTTTATTTTTTTTTGAAATAACACATCACTGAAATTATTTTAGAGTGAATAGACATATATATTTTTAAAAAAACTATGTATAAGTTATATAGTGGTGTCCAAAAAGGATACCTTGAAATTCATAAAATTGCACGTTTTTTCCTTCAAATGAGTTGATTATTAATTTTTTGCCCTTTAGCAATTGAACTTATGCTAGGACATAAGATTTTTTAGAAACTGAAGTCAAGCTTGGATTATAACATAAAAATATACCAAATGCGCAAGAAATTACTTGTTATGAGGGACATAAATTAAAGACCAACACAAAATATAGTGATAAAAGTACAAATGAGCCTGTGAACTGTGAAATTACCTTCAAGAGCAAGCAGGCAGAAAAATCTTTGTCCAATCAAATATAGCCCAGGCCCATTAGTGGCCCACAACAAAGTTCTCGAATAAAGTTTCAATTGGGGGAATTATTTGAACACTCGATATTATAGTGTTAATTACTTATATGTTTTAGCAAATATAAATGATGTACAAAAATGTTAGTTGCTCGTATAAAGAAATACAAAGAAAAAAATGTTATGTTAATAATTAAAACTACTGAATACATTAAAAGTGGGTTCTAATTCATTAAATATACAAAATATATTGTACATTTTCATGCATGAAAGTTAATTGCTCATACAAGAAATTAAAAAAAAAAAACAGTTAAAATCATCGAATACATAATTGCATTCTCTCTATATATATATTAAATAAATGATGCGTTAAAATGTATACGTCAACTTTCGAATGAAATCGTGTATTGAGAGGAATTCAAAAGAAATATTGGAGAACGAATAAAGTTTTTTTTTTTTAGGGATTTGGTAAAATCTCATTATGCTTGACTACTGGATTAAAACAAAATCAAAGAATAAATGCATATACCTTAATTTAGTTAAGCTAAAAGAGGAAAGGGTGATAAATACAAATCATAAGAGTAAATGCATTAACTTTTTTTTATTTGTTTCTATTCTATGTGCAGAGTTCGCATTAGAGTTAGAGTAAATGCATAAACCTTTTTTTAAAAATTTGTTTCCTACTCAATATCCAGAATTCGTATTAAAATTTTAATTAAATTCAAATCATACATAACAAAGTTCATTTGAGAGTAACACTCCCCATAAAATTTTCTTTATATTCAAAACTCGTATCCAAAACCTTTGGATAATAATGAATTCACCAGTGCATCCTAAAAAGGGAGGGGGTGGTGGTGATATTTTATTTTTAGATAGGAGTATTTTGATGAAATATCGATATTATTAGTATTAAATATACAAAATTTTGATGAAATATCGATATCATTAATACTCCATAGTTATGATTTTCCTGTTTCTTTAGGGTCACTCATCCACTCACATTTGTCATCTTCTCATTGAAGCAGAGGAGTATCTTTCACATTTCAAAGCCCTAATATTTACATCAATGGCAGCTCAGACATTGCAGCTCCGACCACTGGGCAACACTGGACTCAATCTCAGCTCTGTCGGCTTCGGCGCTTCTCCTCTCGGCAAGGTTTTCGGCGATGTCTCCGAACAAGACGCCTTCGCCGCCGTCCGGGAAGCCTTTCGCCTCGGCGTCAATTTCTTTGACACTTCCCCGTACATAATCTATCTCTTTGTCATCTTCTATTTTAGACTGAAGTTATCCAGCAGATGATTATGTATTTAGAAATACACATATAGTTGAATTTCTTCTTTAAAAGCATGAATTTTGAATTACATCTGCATTTAGTGTTATGAGTAGTGGATGCAGTCTTATCAGCCCGCACTGATTTAAAATTTTGATCAACCTCTACTATTTGAATTTTGTGAATGACCAGGAATATGCATAAGTGATTTGAATTTTGGATCCGCATCTTGAATCATTTTGCTGTTTAATTCGGAAATGATAGTTGAACTACTGAAATTATTGGTCCTTTTCTAAAATTGGTGACTTTTCAGGTATTATGGAGGAACGTTATCGGAAAAGGTACTAGGGAAAGCTTTGAAGGCTCTTGGAGTACCTAGAGATCAGTACATTGTGTCTACAAAATGTGGGAGGTACAAAGAGGGATTTGATTTTAGTGCTGAGAGAGTGACTAAAAGTATTGATGAGAGCTTGGAGAGGCTGCAGCTTGATTATGTTGATATGTTACAATGTCATGATATTGAATTTGGGTCCCTCGATCAGGTGCTTTATTGATCATTTAGGTTTGATTCTTCTACCTGATATTCTAGGAATCTTTCTTAACACCAATTTTTCTAAATAGTTCGTAAATATGTATGATATAAAAGGTCATGATTTTGTAAGACTTTTTATATTGTTTCCAAATATGTAACATTTACTTTTACTTAACATGTCTGATGCTTATTAAAATATTTTGATCCTCGTACTTCGAATTTTGTCATTCCTTCAGATTGAAGGGAGTTCCTCATAAGGTTTGGCCAAGTGACGTGTTAGCCTTGTAAATCTCTTTTGATTCCTTCCTCAACTTGTCATATTGATTACACATCAAACTACGTAATTTGTTCTCAGTGTTTGATATGTCTGGTTTTCAAAATCTTATCTTTCTTTGTGACATTATCCAGAGGTAGTCTTTGTTTTTGAAAGTAAAGTTTACAGCCCTTCTTCCTCCTTTCCCACTTTATCATTATTTTGTTTGCGGAAATATGTAGTTTTAGCATGGGAGTTTTAGTGGATGTTTATTTTTGTCTCGAACAGATTGTGAATGAGACACTTCCCGCCCTTCTAAAATTGAAGCAAGCTGGAAAGATCCGCTTCATTGGTATAACCGGCCTACCTTTGGGGATATTCACTTATGTGCTTGATTGCGTCCCTCCAGGCACAGTTGATGTCATCCTGTCATATTGTCACTACAGTGTCAACGATTCAACTTTGGAGGATCTGTTGCCATACCTGAAGAGCAAGGGTGTGGGGGTGATCAGTGCTTCTCCTCTTTCAATGGGTCTTCTTACTGAGGCTGGTGGTCCAGAGTGGCACCCTGCTTCTTCTGAACTTAAGGTCAATAATTCATTTTTCTCCCTTGCTAATACTATCCCATAAGAGTATGGATTACTTGCTAAAAGTGCCCTGCTTTAGATTTGTTATGTTGTATCATCTCTGCAATGTATTCATTTCTTCCCATCTGATCTGCCAATAGATGAAGATTGAATGTTTGGATATTGTACTCAGACTAAAGTTTGAACTCCTTCAAGATATTGCATATTGAAATTTCAACACAGAGAAGATCTCACTGAATCGGACACTTGACTTTTAAATCCATGGACAGCTTCTAACTTGATATGAGATGTCTTATTTTCAACTTGTGCTTGTTTGTATCCACTCTCCCAAAGTTGTTCTTCTCTCCACTCTTCAATGCTTCTTCCTGAATCTTCTCCCAAAATAAAACTGAGTTTTTTCTTAATTTTCTTACTCACTCAAATGTCTGCATATTTGCATCACCAGGCTGCCTGCCGAGCTGCTGCTGATCACTGCAAAGGAAAGGGAAAGAATATCTCAAAATTAGCCTTGCAGTACAGCTTAGCAAATACCGATATTTCTTCCATACTAGTGGGGATGAAGTCTGTTAAAGAGGTTATCTTTTTTCATCGATTTTTATCCTCTACATCTGATTCTTCATTTATAAATCCCATGTCATTTTTTGATATTATATTTTACATGTGTCGCTAAAAAGGATTGGCTGGCTTTACTATGTTGCTGAAAGGAAAAAGAGTAGGCAACAGAAAGTTATTTTTTTGACAGATGAAAAATGGATTTGCTTTCTTATACAGACTACAAATTGGATAAAATAGTTGGATGAGGTAGAAAATCATGACCCCTTTGAACAGGACTCTGAGATTGTGCAAGTGAATAGGGACAAAAGAATGAGCCTGCAGTCTGGTGTTTTTCCAAATTCGCACATCTGTTCTTTGTCAACTTTTCTGCCAAAGCATGTGTGGTCATACTTCCCTTTCTTGATTCAACACCTAAAAACAGAAGCATAGATGATGATTGGTCACTCTCAGGACGAGCTATACATTAGAAGTATGCATGTCATTTTCTCATTTCATTTTCAGAAACGAGTGCTGATTGAATTTCATATAGCTGACCATAACTAATTTAGATTAAGGAATAGTTGATTGTTTGGTCGAGTACTAGTTAACTTGCAAGTCCTTTCTGGAAGTGTTCTTGAGCTGGAAGCTTGAGGAACATAAAATTTGCAGCAAATGTCTGGCAATGTTATTTGAATGCCTAGACTAAGCATCCTTTTTAGATGGCTTTATATTGGCTTTTGTCATGATATATCTTTTGCTTGAAGGTGGAGGAAAATATAGCAGCTGCCCTAGAACTAGCAACGGCTGGAATGGATGAAGAAACATTATCAGAGATCACAGACATTCTGAAACCAGTGAAGAATCAGACATGGCCTAGCGGTATCCAACAAAGTTGATTTGTTTGACAGTTCAACGAGCTGTGCAATAAGATCTTGCGAATTGTGATCTCCTAGTTGTGCATGTTTATTTTCACTTGGACATCTAAAACTAGTCCAAATTGAAATTGTATGTTGTATTCTTCCAGCCTTTTACATATCAAAGTTAAAATAACGAATAAATGTTGCAGTGTTTTAAGTATAGGAGGCCAGTTTCGATTTTTAATGTCTTTTTGGGACCTGTCTAAACAGAGATTTTAATGGGAGCAAATTGGATCTAATGTTGTGGACATGTGGTCCAAGTTCACGAAAAATTACTGTAATGTTTTAGTTTTGGGGACCACATTTGATAATTCAAATTGTGTTTACTCCAAGTGGTAAACGATTTGATGGATGAAGGTAGGAGACCCATATTTGACCTTATACAATAATTATAAACCATCATTAAATATTGGATATTCAAGTAATGGTAAAAGAATATTTGTAAATGTCGTACATAGCGGTAACTCAAATATGAAATAAAATTACAGTAAAATTTCTTCTTTAATAATACTACACACATTCGCCTTAAACTCCTCCTCGAAAGTCTTCTCATCACTCAAATATTTGATATGTAAAGATATACAAAGAACAGTATCAGTTTCAATGCAGCAAGAGTTGCAGATCCCCCCCCTCCCCCTATATTTTTGTGGGATGATATATATTTTACAATGTAAATAAACCAGAGCCCCTTATATTTTTTTCTTTTGGTACATTGGGAGACTAGAAATAAACCAAAGCCCCTAGGATCCTTCACAAATACTGAAGAGGTCACCTGGAGCCTGGAGGGGTCTGGTTATATATGCATCCTTTAGCAAGCAGGGATTACAAATGCTGCTAGCTTGCGACGTGCTGCAATGGTGGCCATGCTATCTCATCATCATTTGTGTAACCATTGATAAGGAAATCAGAGCAATTCTTTCGACATCCATGGTTATAGGGATTTCGGAACCTCCCATCTGGACCACGAAGATAACCATATCTCACAGCATTTGCCATCTCATTTGTTGTGAGATTCCGAGCAATCTGCATGGAAGGAAAAAGGTTCATAGCGTCAATTACAAGAGTTTCATAAAGGAAAGCTCCTCTGCATTACAATACTGATGCCCTACTGAGATACATCTCTTAATTCTTAAATACTATAGCAAGTTACTAAATCCCTCATAAAGGTGAGGGTAGCCGATACATAAACCCCAGCCTCCTTTTCGCTCTTTGAAAGTTCTCACAAGAGATGAATTCACGTCAGTCAAGTTAGACTGCATAAAGGACTACCCACAGATTCCATATCCAGCACCAGTGCATCAAAGACGTTGGAACTTGTTTCAAGTATGTCAAGAACTGTTTAAACAATCAATGATCTTACTGAGATAGCTCCAAATTCACTATTACTAACACTAGAAGACGAGACAGCTAAACTTAAGTTTCCTTGGAAAGTCTTGAGTGCTTAATAATTCACCTACAGTGGTTTCAGAAGCAACTATACAACTGTTGATATATATGGGATCAGGTTCATTTATACTAACTAGTTTGGGGAATTTCATTCCCTTTCAAGGGCATTTTTTCATGAGCAAGCTAACTATAGGCTTCAGTTGCTTAATGATTAAGGAGGGCAAGAAAACCAAGAAATCTAATCTATACCTGGGATATCTGTATTACGCAGAGAGTTACAGAAGCAATTAGAATAACCCCATCCATGAACAGAAAAGCGATTACACCAGGATACGCAAAGAAAACATGATGTAACCACGATTCATCGGCTACCAACAATGGTACTGATGTCCAAATTCCTGCAAGAGGTAAACGGTTCCAACTGTCTTAAACAACCCAGTGTCACTTTATTAGAGTATGCTACCAGTAGCATTCTTAAGACTGTTAATATTAAAGATAAAGTGCTTTTAACATACTTTGAAGAGCAACTGCAGCACCAATTATAGATGTCAAAGAACCCATACAAAGGAAAATGAAAAAGTCCCGCTTATTCCTCTGCAAGGTTCAGCAAAAATAATAATGAAGTAATGGTCAAAAGCACAGGAATTAAGAAAATACTTGCAAAACTCCAACAACTTGGAATATGCAAGAAGTGTTTGTAACCAGCATTTAGTGAGGAAATCAACAAAGTGATGCAAGACAGCCAAAAGAAAGAAAAGGAATAAGTAATGAAATTGATGCCTGACAAATCTCAGAAGGGAAGTGTCGATTATGTAAGTACTGTAATATTATCATAGTTTACTGAAGATGTGAGAAAAGATAGGAGTCATGAACAGGAATACAAAATAAACAACAAAATACTGCCTGTTAACCATGGATAATTGTCACTTCTTCCAGAATTTTATCCCGGAAAACAGTTTGGACATAGAAGTGTTGCAATTTTCCAGAATTCAAAAAACTCCAAAAAGTTGTTTTCAACAATTTTCAGTCCAAATCACTCACAAAAATTCAAACAATTCCAATTTGTATGCATGTCCAAACACAACTCCACTTTCCAAATACCATTTTCAACTTGAAAACAAATACTGCTACTTTTTTCTGAAGTTCACAATTTTTATGTTCAAACACCCACTAACACTCATTTGTATCGCATCTAACCAGACAGGTTCCCTAGGGGACAAAACAAAAGGAATAACCAGGCATACAGAAAAACAGCTAGCAAATTTTTGTACACTGCATACGTCCCTTTAGTAGCTTATAAATAGTCATACCTTCCCCACACAATTTGAGACCCAAGGGCAATGATGATCGAATTGTTCAACACAGCGGTTGCAAGTAGGACAGTGTTTTGACCGAACAGGTCGTATGATCTGGCATAAAAATGTTCAACAATCAACATGACAATACAAATGCAACATCAACAAAGAATATATCTTGTAGTAAAAAGACTAGGTTTTCTGAGAAACCTTGCAGGTGGGACAAAGCTGAGACCAGTTCCCAGTCCAACTGGAAGTATTGTTCAGATCAATATTCAATAGTGGATCCTGGAAAAATCAACTAACATCATTAAGTAAATTAGAGGATATTAAAATCATTGTTGAATAATTCCAAAATGAGAGTGGTACCTGAGCATCAGGTTGACCAGCAACCGCGGTTTTGATGTAACCTGGATCTTTACTGCAAAGAAAATGAAGCAATCATCTTTGGCTCCATAAGGCATGAGAAGCTAAGTGCAGACATATTTTAACCAAAAGAACACGTATGACAAAATGTTTACCTATAGCTTTCAGGGCCAAAATTAGGATATCACCAGATAAACAAGCCCATTCATTTAAATCCAACATTGTACAGGACAAGTCCAAAAAATCTATAACAATGCTAGGGATCATAGTGACATTAAGGACAAGAAAGAGAAGACTGATTGAGTAGATGGTTCATCAATGATAATGGTGGAAGGGAAGGGAAACAAGGGAAAGGAAGATGAAGCATCTTTAAGAACAAATGATCCTGTTGCTTTAAAAAATCAGTTTTTCTTCAACTTCATCAAAATCCAGTTTGGAAAGATCTAACTCCCCTTTCATAAATTTATGGGTTTAATGGATCGCTGAATCACACAAGTTAACTTTTATGTGTCAGGGAACATGTCAGTTATTTGCAGTTCTATGACAGTGACTGCTGTCAGCGTTCCAGAGTGCTGTGTTCCTCATCTAGTACATACTTAAAATTTGTGCATCATACTACAGAGTTTGTAGAATAAGGCAAAGGGAAATAATAGATTATAAGCAACATTTGCACTTTATACCAGTATCAACATTTGCCTCGAAATTTTTGTGCCTCATACTCTGAACTGCGGAACCCTTAGGCACAGTGGCGAATCTAGAGCCAAAAAAAAGGGCATCCGCACCCGTGGCCTTTTCGTAAAATTAGATATTTTATATGTATATTTTTTAAGATTTTGTATAATATTATATTCTTGCACCCGTACTACAAGAAATCTAAATGGTCCACATGGTTAAATGTTGAGCTTTTGACCTTGAGGATGAAGGATCAATTCTCACTTCAATACATTCTACTTGGTGCACCCATGTTCAAAAAATCCTAGATTCGCCTCTGCTTAGGCACTGCCATACTCTGATTACGTTTATTATTTGCTTAAATAGAATAAAAACACAAAAATTCCCATCGACTTCAATACCATATGGGGTTTAGGCGTTTAGCACAATATCATAGTAAATTAAGTTGGGTTTTGCTGCCTCAATCACTTGAGTAATTAAACAGGAAAAAGTTACCTACTGCAACGAACTAACACTAGGAGTGCGGCAACTGCCAGGGAAACAGCAGTCCATCCCCAAAGTGCGACAACAGCAGTAACTTTTGTAAGACCAGGAGCTAGCAAAAACAAGATCCAGTAACAATTAGCTAGTGGTGCCTCCAATTAAAAGAACAAAAAGAAATACCACTAGAAGTACCATCACCCACCAAAGAGGACTGAACTGATGAAGAGAATGACGTTGACAAGAACAACGGAGAATAGAATTGGAGCATAACCTTTATACCCCATTTTAGCAGGGCAAATCTTGTCTTTCCACTGCTTTCTCTGTGACCGTTGGGCATTAGACTGCACAACATTGAATTTCAAACTGTCATTCAGACAAAATACTTCCAACCTCAAGACACTGCTACAAAAATGAGAAACAGTAATTGCAGAACGATAGAGAGAAAAATCAGCATGGTACTTGAAAATTGTAAGATTTCAGGTAACATAATTTATCTTAACTGCTGAATTTTCCCCTATTTTTGAGTTTGTTTGGGGGAGAAGGATGTTGCAACTCTAATAAAAATAGATTGAACAGCACCTGAGAGCAGTTTATAGAAAAATAGTAGAATGACCTGACCACTGCAGGCATTCCCTCCTCCATTGCGCAATCGTAAATATAGTTCAACATTTTCTTTCACGCCTCACAAGTCAATCATTCTTTCGTGCAAAGGAACATTTTGAAACTAAAACTTACTCTGCAAGCTTTACGAGCTTCATCATGCAAACTTCTCTTTTTCACAATAAAAAGCTCATGGGATTAGAGTCACACAACTAGAGCAAGATATGAGTTCTAATAACTGCCATACAACATGTTCACATGCATTACTTCATGAACTATAAGTTTTGCTATGAGTTTGAGATTAGGAGAAGCTTTTACCATTTGGAATCATAAATTAAGTGCCCCATTATTTTAGACATCCAGTCCTCTCATAATGAAATAAACAAAACCACTTGTACGGAGCATTTTGCTCAAGAAAGATTAATCCAGAAACATTCAATTAAATAACAGGACAGGTTGGAAGGCGATCAAAAATACCTTCTTCACCATCTATAAAGGTATTTATTTGAGACGTGAAATTCATGACAATCCAAGGCATCCATGAACATTATGAATTTCAGCAAGGATAAAAAAAAAAACCTCGTTACAAGGAAAAGGACAGACACACAAATATACAAGGAGATAATTTCTATAAAAGGAGTTACCTACAAGTATAAGTGCTATTTGCAGATGACCTTTATCAGATGCAAGCTCTGCAGGAGTAAGTCCTGCATTATCTTTGACTGTTAATTCCTCCTTTGTGCCTGCATGTACAAGTAAAGTGCAAGCCTCTGCATTTCCTCTTAATGCTGCCCAATGCAAAGGAGTGCAACCTGCAAACCTTTGAAGTATCAGCATTTACAACTATGTTTGTGGCTCTAAACAATAATTTGACGTCTGGATGTATGTAGATAGCAATTATCACGGTCAATCAGTAAAATTTAATTAAAAAATAAGATCAACCAAATCCTCTTCCAGAAAAAGCATTATTCACTAGCAAGTATAATGGTCAATCAGTAAAATTTAATTAAAAAAATAAGATCACCAAAACCAAGCATTATTCACATCAGTCATGGTTAGAACACCCTCGAGGAAAAATGAGCAATTAAAAAACACATGAAGCCAATGGACACTTAGTCCCAAACTTTCAGAAATGACCATGCCAAAATCTTAGAATGCTGCAAAATGGAAATACAGGACCCATACATTAATGGAAGAATGATAAGCAATCCCACAACAAAAGGAGGAAAAAAACCTCAAACCACATTCTAAGTCTTCCTCTTCCAAAGGTTCATCCCAGAAAAACACATAAAATCCCACTTGATTTCAACATATCAACAAGAAGAGACTTGCTCAAAGGAGTTCTGGACTTCATTCTCCACTGAGTATATACTCTTGACAGCCAATATACAATTCTTCACAAAAAGTCCTGCAATGTTACTTTCTTTCTGTCCATTGTTTATGAAGTTTCAAGCAAAAGGAGGGACATTCAGACCCCAATTTCAAACTGTTGCTTTGAACTACTAAACAGAAGTTTCCCCAGAACTAACAAAACAGGAACTCATTCCTTTAACAAAGTGTAAAATTTATGTAGACCATCATTTTATTAAAAGAAGCACCAGAAAACAAACTACTAATAAGATGCTTAGAATCTCCACCTGTACTCAAACTTAGACGAGAGAAGAAGTTATTAGACACTGCAACTTGCATTTCATATTTACACAAGCATTTTTTACAAGACATTATTACACAACCATAACTGTTGGATAACATAGACTATGAAGCAACACTAACTACGGAACATACCAACTTCAGTGCTGCATCTATTATTTCCATTTCCATCAAATTATCATAATTAATGACTATGATTGGCAGGCCACATTCATCAGCAAAAATCTCCCCAACTTGCAAAAGCATTACATTTACACCAAGAGAATTTAAGAAAATGGTACATTCAATATAAACATACCATTTTTATCTTGTCTCCCTTGGAAAGCATCTCTGAATAGAAGTAACCTAACTGTATCACCAAATCCCTTGTATGCAGCCCTAGTTGGAAATACCAGGGAAAATACTTATAAGAAACATAACATAATGGACAACTGCAGCTAAGAAATGAGATAACAATATAAAGAACTATCATGAAGATCAACTAGTAAAACATTCATTTTTAAATTCCACAAACCAACACCAGAGGGCAAGTACTCTGCCTTCCGTTTGATAAAAACAAAATTTTCAATGTCCAATAGGGAATGTGGAACGCCCCAAATTGCATGCAATACCAGGAATAAAAGATTTAAGATACTGAGAGTAGAAAGGAACACCAAAGCTTTAAAACTAAAAACTAAATCAGAATCAAGAGTGGTATACAATGTCAAACAATGATACAGTCTCGCAGTTTAGACTTGTTAAGATGACACTACTAATAGGAAGTTAGGAGCAAGCATAAATAAAGAGGGGAAATTACCAATCCAACTATAGCCAAAGCTAGAAAACATGGACATCAAACTTCACATATCCACGCCATACTTGAGTCCTGATGTTACACACCACTAAGACGTGTGCAACACCAATCCACCGAGTTGGGACCTTCACCACTTTAGTCTCCACTCTACAACTAAAAGACAACACTTCTTCCCCAGTTTTCTGTCTGTAGTTTATTAAATGGGATCTTTTAAAGAAGTTTGGGAGTTACTTTGTAAGAAACAAACTTCTGACCAAATTGCCTATCAACTCCTTTATTCGAACAACGTGAAATCATAAAGGAAGAGGAAGACACATCCTTATCAGATCTAGGCACAGTGTAGTGTTTACAACCTTTTTAGTCATCAGAATTATTTTGGTACTTTCTATTGTATGTTGAATGACTGGAATCTATTATATGTGATAGTGGAATATATGAAATATATGGAGTTTGTTTTTGTGTTGTGATCTGATAGTCTTAGTATTTCTACATGTAACCAAGGCTAGATCAACTCCCATGGACATGTAAAACTTCCACATTTTTGCTTCACCGACGGTATATCTTCTACTTAGAGTGGTACAGGATCTTCTCTTAAGATTTGTGGTTTAACATATTTAAAATAGTTGACACTTGAATTTCTCACGTTCACGTCACATACTTAATTAACTTTACCTAGATTGCCCGAAGCCAGCTGAAAATGGTGTCCAAAATAATTACTCCCTCCATCCCATTTTATGTGGCACCATTTCCTTTTTGGTCAGTCCCAAAAAGAATGTCACATTTCCTTATATGGTAAGTATTTAAAGGTACAATTCCTCTTTTACCCTTGTTGGTTCCACTTAATCTTAAAGATAGTACTCCAATACATTTATGAGGAGAGAGAAAAGTGAGTCTACTTTTTAATATGACTATTTTTTGAAGGGGCAATTTGGTAAACATTTCAAAGTCTTCATTTATTTCTTAAACTCCATGCCCGGTCAAATGTTGCTAAATAAAATGGGACGGAGGGAGTAGTTTCTTTACCATTGTTCAGTGAGATACATAAGACTAAAATTAAAAAATCTGAGTATAAAAGAGGGCAATATTTTGGAATTTATCTGTTTATTAAGTACTCATGATTAGGGAAGTAGCCAGATCTCAGGCAAGGCAAGAAGAAATATCTATACGTAGAAGGATAATTTCAGTCCCAATAAAACTACAAGCGAACTTGCCATGAAGCTAACACAGACCACAAGCACATCCAGAGATCAGAACCAAAATATAGCAAAGAGTCATGGGAGATTTGTCACTTAAGAAGATGATGGATTTTCAACTCAAAACAGAAAACTCAAACTATAAGTCTATAAATGCTGGGGGTGCTAATCATACCAGTGAAGAGGGCTCCTCCCATCATTATCTGGTACATTAAGGTCAGCATGATACTTCGCAACAATGTGATTTACAAAAGCTGTTTGTCCATACTGAGCTGCAACATGAATTGCCTGTAAAGGAAGTACACATACTTCAACATTTGATATAACTGAAAAAAGAGCCTTTAAAGATAGCCTTATCCAAGAAAATTAGTTTCTAGAAGGTTATAAAATCAGGATTTCACACTGACAATTTTTGAATTATGTAATAAATCTAGCATGTGCTCTAGGTCTGGGGAAAATGGAAGAAGATGAATAATGGTCAAGAGGAAGCACGAGAACAAGAAGCCAGTAACTGATTATGAAACTTGGATAAAAAGAATTTAGGAATAATTAAGGGAGAGGTTCTGTATAATCCATCTGCACCAAGTGTCCCTGCCGATACAAGCACAGGTGATGGATCATTTATTTCATTGAAACCTTACACTTGGAGACTAAATAAACAAACAAAACGTAGTCCTTTTAATTCAAAGTTCAAACCAAATTCTCTTTTAGGTTTTCACCTATGGGTTTTCAGTTACAAGCCTATGACACTCTCATTAAGAAAAACAACTAGGAACTTTATTAATTCTGTTGCATACAACTTGGATGTTCCGGAAGCTACACAGAGACCTGACAATGGTATCAGTTCCATCATGGAACCAATGCAAAAAAACTTAGTTCCAGCTTTGCCTAAACCGTGAGGAGACCAAGGAAATTAGAAACGTTAACCACATCTTGTATTGCAAATACCAACTTATACAGATGGATTTGAAAATAGCAACAATAATACCGGAATTATGAATTGTTGGACATTACAAATGAACAGCAAGTATTATATATTACCCGATAGCCATTAACGTCAGCAGCCTCGACCCGTGCACCATTCTGCAACAACACATCGGCAGCTGCACTAGATCCCCGCACTGCTGCCCAATGCAACGCAGTCTGTCCCGAATTGTCCGTCGCATGGACATTTCCCCCGTGCTACACACGCCACCAAGGGTAAAATACCATACTTTACCTCCAAATGAACAATTAAAAACTTGATCCTCATTTAATAAAAAGTCAAATAATAATACCTCGATGATATATTGGACAATATCAGCGAAATTGTTGAGAGCAGCCCATTGAAGCGCGTAATATCCGTTACCGTCCGGCTGGTAAACGGAAACGCCGTCAACTTCAACGAATTTCCGGAGTTTGTCAAAATCACCGTAAGCGCAAGCAGAGTAAACATCGAGTATGGCTGGTTCGTTAGGGTTTCGAAAACCAGAAGTTTGCTGATCATTGGAGTCGGAAACGATCTCGATCTCTGATGAAGCCATTGACAATGTGAAATTAGAAAATTCTGGATCCAAGTGTTGAGGTTAGTAATAGTTCATTCAATTATCGTGAAGCTTTTTTTGCATTTACTGGGGAAGGTAGATATCATTCAAAGCACAATTTACTCTAGTGTGTTAATTACTTTACGGCTGCTGCCGCGCTCAACACGATGAACTTTAATAAGGATCATCAACTAAGACCAATTGAAATAAAGGATTGGGCATTCCCCATTCAACTAAGATAAAATTTATTTTTAATTTTATATGCTTTTTTATAAGAAATTCTTTTATATATTAGTCTATTTAAATTACTACAATTTTTTCTAACTTTCGTAGAAGGTTAAATATACCTCAAAGTTCAAAATTATTTAAAACTAGTAAAATTACCCGCACTTCACGTGGAAATTTAATAATACTTAAAATCTATCAGTCAGTAAAACTAAAACACTATATTATCTGACATACAAGATTACGTAATAACAAACATTAATAATGTAAAGGAAAATGAAACGTATTGCATCTTATCATTTATCCTTAATAACATAATCATAAATTATTTACGATAAAAATACATACCAAGATCTGTAACATAAGCAATAATGTCAGTGAGTCACTCAACATGAGTAAAATACACAAATATTTAATTGTGAAGAAGAAGAAGAACGTGAAGAGGAAGAAGAACATGAAGAGGTTCAGAATTTTTGTTGTTTTAAAATGAGAGGAAATCTCTCTATTTATAGATAACAAAGAATAGTGTAAACAAATATTTATTGTGCCTTATCGGAAAGGTTCCAACTATTTGGAAAAGTTGCAACTCTTTAGAAAGATCACAACCTTTCATAAAAGTCACAACTCTTCATAAAAGTCGCAACTTTTCATAAAAGTCGCAACTTTTCATTGAAGTCGCAACTTTTCATAAAAGTCACAATTTTTCATGAAAGGGGAAGACTAGTTTAGGAAATAAATAAATAAAAAGGAAATTCTGGTTTGTAGTGGCGCCGCGTAGGCGGACCTAAGGTTCTTTTTTATATATATATATATATATATATATATATATATATGATATGATATATGATGTATCGATTTTACCATGCGTTATATTTTTGGCTAAAAACTGCTTTTACTATGTCGTTTGGTGTGAGGTATAAAAAATAATAGTGATGGGATAAGAAAATAGTGTGGGATAAAATATGTGTATGTTGTTTGGTTGTCATGTTTGGAATTACTTATCCCACCATTTATATCATAGTGGTGAGATAAGTTATCTCATATACATGGTGGGATAAGTTATCCCAGGATAGCTAACCCCACGATAACTTATCCTGAAATAATTTGTTCCCAACCAAACAACCCTAGTTTAGCTCAAACTTTGGTTGTGCACAAAACAATTGTCATATGCTGCCAATGTGTGTGTCTACTTAAATGTGTACTTATACACATTCAAAATTGAAGAACATAAATATTACTAGCTGATACCAAATTAAAAAGGATTAGTTATTTATTATGAGAAAAAAACTTAAATAAAAGATATCACATCAAAAAGAGGGGAAAAAAATACAAAAGACAAAGAGGTAAAGAAGCAATACTTGATTTAGTTTATATATATGTCCTCTAACTTTGAATATATATAATACTTAAATTTATTTAAAAATTGAGCAAGTAAACGCAATAGTCATAAATATTGTCATTTCCATTATGGAAAAAAAAGAAGGAATATTGTAGCAAACGAATCAGACCATACCATTTGTATATAGGAAAAATCACACCATATACACATTTAAGGGTCAATATTACAAGTTTTAAACACATTCTTAAAATATTCTTACTTATAACAGTTTATTTACGGGTTATAACATATTACTTAAATTTAACTTTATTTAAAAATTAATTACAGGTTTATTTAAAAATAATTAATCTCTTTATATTTTTATATTAATTATTAATAGCTAGCTAATATAATTTCAGTTCCTTTTTTAAAATCGAAATTATCAGTTACACGAATTTAGGGATTTACATTGATTAGACTTCCTTTTTTACCGTTACACTCCAATTAATTTTATTTAAAAATCAATTTCCATTTATTTAATAAATGATTAATCTATTTATGGTTTATTATTATTAATTAATATTATGTAATTAAATTGATTTTTGTTCCTTTTTTAAATCTGAAATTATCAGTTACATAGATATAGGGATTCACCTACAACAAGTTTCCTTCTTTACCGTTACCACCTCCCATACGTCAATCCCTCCCCCCTCCCCCACGCTCATCCAGTTCTACATGCCATTAACACACTAGCCCAATTTTACCTTCATCTATCACATCTTTCTCACCACCAAACTACACTAACTTTACAATCCTCCATTCAATTTAGTTTTTTCAACAAAACCATGTCGAAGAAAATGGTTGCAACTCCTCGAAAGATCCCTCGATTAGTCGAAGGAACTTCTACGGATGAAGTTCATGCTCCATCTTTCAACATTTTGACTCAAACACCGCTGCCAAACATTGTTGAAACTCCGGCTAGGGGTAATTCATCTCTATTGAAAGATCAAAAACAAAAAAAAATGACTCAAACAAAAGGGTGAGTCCGATAAATCGAAAGGGGAAGAAGAGGAAGGGGAAAAATGTTGAAACCCCTTTTGATTTTGATTTTGATTTTGTTACTGAATCAAAAAAGAAAAAAAGAAAAAAAATAATGAATGTTGAAGTTGCTCAGTCGTCAAAACCATCTACAAGAAGATCCAAAAAAAAAAAAAGGAATCAGAAGTCCCAACACCTAAAAAAGACAAAAAAAATTGTTAGGGTAAATATTATATTCAATTTATTTTCACATTATTAAAACTACTGATTTTTTCCTAAAAATATCACATTATTCTTATATTATTTTCGAAATAGTTGTTTGAATGAAACATGTATGAAATCTGATTAATATGTGTATGATTCTGATTAAACAGTTGATTGTTGGATATTGTATGATTTGTGATATAATAGTGGTATACAAATGGTATGAATTGTGTTTTAACAGTAGTGTGATTGTCTATTAACTGTATATACAAAGAGTGAGAATGGTGCGATCAGTGAGAGTGAAGTTACTGATACGATTGCTAGCAAATCTGGTGGACCTCGCATAGCAAAAGAACATGTTCCGGATACCACCAATTATCCTACACCAAGACCACGTACAAGAAATTTGAAATAGTTGATTGCACCTTCTACTTTTTTAGAATTACATGTTTTTTTTTTACTTTTGAACAACTTTTTTGTATTTAAGTATTTGATGATATATAATATCATATGTTTTCTTCCAATCAGATACCATCTACATATGAATTACTGTTTGGCTATTATAATTTCAGGATACTAGTAATATACAGTTTTCATACCATTTGGATTCACTATTTTAAAATATCAGTGTGAATCCAAATTATACAATTAATGGATGAAACGTGTGTGAAATTTGATTAATATGTGTATGACACTCAATTTAATGTTTGATGGTTGGATATTGTATTAATTGTGATATAATATTGTTATACAAATGATATACATTGTGTGATTATATGAAATTGATTTATTGTTAGTATAATATGTGTGATATAAACTGAAGTTCGTGTTGGAATGAAACTTGAATAAGATTGGTATAAAGTTTGTTATATATTACACTATATTTACACTATCTTATATATTAATCTGGAATAAATTTTATTTCCAAGTATATTAAATCTGTATAAATAATTAATGAATCGCGTATATGAAATCTGGAATCTAAAATCTGAAATTTGTACAAATATTTACACTATCTTATATATTAATCTGAAATAAATTTTATTTTCTAGTATATGAAATCTGTATGAATAATTAATGAATCATGTATATGAAATCTGAAATCTGAAATCGGAAACCTGTACAAATAGTTACACTATCTTATATATTAATTTGGAATAAATTTTATTTCCAAGTATATGAAATCGTAAAGAAATCTACATTAGCTTTCTTTTGATCTAAAAAAACCCGCACACCAACATCATTGTGGATACTAACAGGGGGACATCTATCACTAACTATATATTTCATCTCTATATTGTGAATATTAACATCTATCATTAGTTGCGATGTTATCACACTTACTAGACCACTATAAAGACTAGAATACTCATATATAATCCCCTCCATCTGAAAATCAACATATTTCCCTGTTTCATTAAAAAAAAAATAACAATTAGTCTTACATAATACAAAAAAAAAACAAAATTATACACACTTGTCATTATTTTTTCATACAAAAATCATTCAAACAGTAAACTACAAACATATTTCATTAAAAACTAAAATTTCAGATTTCATACCCACTTATTACAAATTTCATACATACAATCATCATTTATACCAAATTTATACATTTCTCATACCAAATAGTTCATTCCTTTCACACAAATTTATACATAATTGACAAAACTTATATAAACAATAACATTTCACATTTCATACCAACTTAAAACATTTTTAATACACTTATTCAAACTTCAAAATAACTTTTTTTACTAACTAGTTAACACACTTTCATACCCACTTAAAACAACTGTCATACAATTCTTCAATACACTTTCGTACCAAATTAATTACAATTACACTAACAAATTCATTCAAAACTATACATTTTAATTCATTTTTTCACGAAAAAACCCAATAATCAATAATATTACAGAAACTTACCAAGAAAAAAACCAGTTATCAATAATATGGTGACACTAAACCACTACCAAAAAATAGAAACTTACCAAGAAAATCACTAATATTACAATTTCACAACAACTAATAAGTATTATGAACAAAACGTATTGTTTATACAAAAAAAAATATCACATTCAATATAGTGGCGATTTACAGTTTCATTTTTTTTTCTATTTCATTGAAATCCAAATAAAAATAGTAAACAATTAAAAATACTCACCTGAAGCAACCCATCTTCCGCCATGTTTAATTAATATTGATACGTAGTTGTCCATCACAGAAAAAAACACGTTTTTTCAACAAAAAAAAAATTCAATTTGTTGCCAGTGACAATTTCTGGAAGAAAAACAAAGAGAGAGAAACGTGAAAGAAAAATGGATAAAATCTGATTTTTAAATTATTTTTAACAAATTGGAGTGAATTAAGGAAACTGAATATTCTTAATTAGTTTGAAATCCC